ACGTGTCCTAGTTAGCATGCGCGCTCTAATGTCTACCTCCAGTATCCTTTTTAAGGTTAATGGAAAATTGTTTTTGAGGACTTTGCCGCCTCTACGTGTTCCCTTTTGATATTCTGGATGCTCTCATGCCCAAAATGAAAACCAAAAAAAGCGCTGCGAAGCGCTTTGTAGTGCGCCCAGGCGGCACTGTTAAACGTGGTCAAGCTTTTAAACGCCATATCCTCACCAAGAGAACCACAAAAAACAAACGTCAGCTTAGAGGTAGTGCAGCTGTGCATAAAGCGGATACCAATTCCGTACGTGCAATGATGCCTTACGCTTAAGCGTTTTGTTTACAGTTTATTTTCAATCTCTAAATCAGAGACACGCCATCTTCATCACCATGATGAGTGGCGTTTTGTATAAGTCACTCTTCAGGAGCAACAATGTCCCGAGTTAAACGCGGCGTTACAGCACATGCCCGCCACAAAAAAGTTATTGACGCAGCTAAAGGCTATCGCGGCCGCCGTAAAAACGTCTACCGCGTTGCCAAAGAAGCGGTCATGCGTGCAGGGCAATATGCCTATCGCGATCGTCGCAATAAAAAACGCGTATTTCGTGCATTGTGGATTACCCGCATCAATGCAGCGGTTCGTGAACATGACATTACGTACAGTGTCTTTATGAACGGTTTGCTGAAAGCTGGAATCGGCCTAGATCGTAAAGTCTTGGCTGAACTTGCTGTCAATGATAAATTGGCTTTTGCCGCGATTGTTGGTCAAGTCAAAGCTGCTGCAACCACTGAGCAAGCTAATGCAACAGCCCTGGCTGCCTAACCTTTTTGGTTTGTAGGTATATTAAGGCATAAGAAAGGGGGCTCCTAAGGGCCCCCTTTCTTATTTCACGCTGAGATCTGTGTAGAGACAGACTCTATCCTCCGTCATTCATTCAAAAATTGGCTTCCATGGATCTCGAATCGCTTATCGTAGAAGCGCAACACGCTTTCGAACACGCCGAAGATACGGTCACCCTCGATAACGAAAAAGCACGCTTTCTAGGGAAAGCAGGCAGCTTAACGCAGCTTCTCAAAGCACTGGGTGCGCTCGATATGGAGCAACGCAAAGCGCAAGGCGAGAAAATTAATCAAGCCAAGCAACGTATCGAACAAGCCTTGCGCGCACGCCGACTGGCACTAGAGCAAGCGCTTCTAGAGCGCCGGCTAGCCGCACAAGCTATTGATGTGACCTTACCCGGAAGAGGATTAGGTGGAGGAAGTCTGCATCCCGTTATGCGCGCCTGGGAACGAGCCGAGCGCATTTTGCATAGCATGGGATTTGAGACAGCCGAAGGGCCTGAAATTGAGACAGACTGGTATAACTTCACCGCGCTAAATAGCCCTGAAAACCACCCTGCCCGCTCCATGCAAGATACGTTTTATGTCAATGCAGAAGATGAAACGGGCAAACCACTGATGCTACGCACCCATACTAGCTCGATCCAAGTTCGCTATGCGCGTAGCCACTGTCCTCCGCTTAAAGTGATTGCACCTGGGCGTGTATATCGAGTAGATAGCGATGCAACGCATTCACCTATGTTCACGCAGATTGAAGGCTTATGGATTGATGAACATGTAAGCTTTGCGGACTTAAAAAGCATCTATACCGATTTTTTGAAGAAATTCTTTGAACGTGAAGATTTACAGGTCCGTTTCCGCCCTTCTTACTTCCCGTTTACGGAACCCTCTGCCGAAATTGACATGCTTTTTGAAACCGGCAAGCATGCGGGCCAATGGTTGGAAATCTCAGGCGCAGGGCAAGTACATCCGACCGTACTACAAAATATGGGACTGGATTCTGAGCGCTACACAGGATTTGCATTTGGCACAGGCCTTGAACGCTTAGCTATGCTGCGCTACCAGGTTGAAGATCTGCGCCTCTTTTTTGAAGGCGATCTGCGGTTTTTGAAGGCTTTTCAATAAAGATTAGAAGTTCTCCTGAAGACCAACCTACACACTGGCAAAAACGATAACCTTATGCAATTCTCCGACTCCTGGCTGCGCCACTTCGTCAATCCCTCGCTCTCCAATCAAGCACTGGCCCATACCCTCACTATGGCTGGCTTGGAAGTGGAATCATTGGAACCCGTAGCACCACCCTGCACACTGGTAGTGGTAGCCCAAGTGCGCTCTACCACACAGCATCCTAATGCCGATAGATTGAAAGTGTGCGAGGTAGATGCCGGCCTTGGGGAGCTATTACAAATCGTATGCGGTGCCCCCAATGTACGCCCTGGTCTTAAAGTGCCTTGTGCGCTTATTGGCGCTGCCCTGTCTACAGAAGATAAAAACAAGCCTTTTACAATTAAGCGTAGCAAGCTTCGCGGAGTCGAGAGCTGCGGCATGCTATGTTCAGCGAAAGAGCTAGGCTTGTCCGATCCTTCTGATGTCAGCGGAATACTTGCTCTGCCTGAAGATGCACCTATAGGCGAAGATATTCGTACCTATCTCTCATTAGATGAGCAGCAATTCACATTAAAGCTCACCCCTAATCGCGCGGACTGCCTATCTATTTTTGGTATTGCGCGTGAAGTAGCTGCACTGACACACACCCCTTTACAGCGCCCTATTCCAACCCCTATTTCCGCTGAAATTCAGGATAGCTTGCCCGTCCATATTTCCACTCCCACACTATGTGGGCGATTTGCGGGTCGCGTTATTCGTCAAGTGAATGCCAGCGCCCCTACCCCTAGCTGGATGGTTCAGCGGCTAGAGCGTGCAGGTGGGCGCAGTCTAGGCGCTTTGGTGGATATTTCTAATTATGTGATGCTGGAGCGCGGTCATCCCAATCATGTCTTTGATTTGAACAAACTCACAGGCCCTCTCGAAGTACGCTGGGCAAAGCCTAATGAAACGCTACAACTTTTAGATGGCACCTTAGCGAAACTCGATGAGACCGTAGGTATTATTGCTGATGCACAAGGTCCACAAAGTTTAGCCGGCATTATGGGCGGTGCAGCTAGTGCCGTCTCGCCCGATACCACCGATATCTATCTTGAAGCCGCT